TGGCCCTGGGCGGCCAGTCAGTGGTCCTGAGCGGCCAGTCAGTGGCCCTGGGCGGCCAGTCAGTGGTCCTGAGCGGCCAGTCAGTGGCCCTGGGCAATCACTAAGTGGCTCAGTTCCAGCTGGACGGACTGTCAGTAGTTCAGGGCCCGGAAGACCGGTGAGCAGCTTGGGACCCGGGCGACCAGTTAGTAGCTCCAGTCTCCCCCTAAAGCCCAAGTGTACTGTTGTCTCAGAAACAATTTCTTCCAAGAATATAATTAGCCGATCCAGCAATGGACAGATGAATGGAATGAAGCCTTCCTTATCTGGCTACAGATCTGCCCAAGGTAAAATTGTCCCTTACCCTAAGAATATTTCTTTGTTACTAGGAAATTGGAAAGAATACTTTGTTTTATATAACCAGAAGCCCTGTGAACCCTTCCATGTACTCTTATGTTGATAACATTCTGATGCTTTCTCTTTGTGTCTGAGAGTTGCTTGAGTGCTCATAACTTGGAAAAGGCTTTAGAAAGAGAGTTATCTAGGACCCTCTGTGTTCACCCCTGTAACATCTCCAAGTGCAATAAACTTGGCTCTGTGATTCATAAGACAGGGTGAATGTATATGCCTGATACGGTTCAATGAGTTAATTCATCTTTACCTTTTCATGAGAACTAGAGAGGCCCGTCTTCAAAAGTTGGGAGTATATTTATACAGTTGAAGCCTTTTGGTGCATTATTTAGTCATCAGATACTTGTTAAGTGCCCATGATCTACCGGGAACTGTTTTTGATTGCCCTTGTATTTCTGCTTTTCTTCATGGTAATAAGCATTTGTTAAAGTCCTTGTTGGGTGCCATGGAGAATATAAAAAGAAACAAAACATGAGATTCCATGCTTTAAACTTCCTAATTCACCTAGAACATTGGTTCTCAACCAAGGATGATTCTGATGCTCAGTGAACATCTGGCAGTGTCTGGAGACATTTTTGACTGACACAACTGGGGCAGGGATGCTACTGGCGTCTCTTAGATAGAGGCCAGAGATGCTGCTGTTATCCTACAATGCACAGGACGGTCTGCTCACAACAAAAAACTATCTGGCCCAAAATGTCAGCAGTGCAGAAGTTGAGAAAGAAACCCTGCGCTAAGGAGACAAGCCATGCATATTAACAATAACTCGAGAACAACAAAAGGAGGATCGCTAATCAAGGACTAGAAAGCAGTTGTTCCTAGATCGGGTCTATTGATCAGTGTCTGTCTTTTGCAAAGCTTTAATCAGTCTTTTAGCAAAATGACAAAATAAGGATAATGTAGTGAGTTTTTTTAAAGTTAGCCTTATTCATTTTGAACAATTTATCCATAATTCTGGGAATCTTTCATACTTTGTTGGACTCCTAAAAAATGTACCTAAATTACGGTGATAATAGATGGTAGTTGTAACCTTCGAGGTTTTTTCTTGGCAAAACTAAAAGTGATCCTGTAAGCCATTTGTAATTTTTTTTTTTTTTTTAAATTTTACCAGTCTTCTAAATCCAGAAGGAAGGGAACTACCAGGCTAGAAAATGTAACAGATGCTTCTAGTAAACCACTTATAAACAACATGAAGCAGCAGGGTTGATGTAATAATGACTCCATACTATGGGCTAGCATACTGGCTCTGGTTTTTGAGGATACTGTCTTAATGAGTTCTCAAATCTCAGTGTATGTAGAACTTTGTTGGGACTATTTTCAGTTTTAATGCTTGGCGTAAGTAATGGCTTTTCTATTCTTAGTTCCTCAAAGGCCTCCCTTCCCTAGTGGTTACAAAAGGCAGCGAGAATATGAAGAGGAGGAAGATGATGATGAATATGACTCTGAAATGGAAGATTTTATTGAAGATGAAGGAGAACCTCAGGAAGAAATATCCAAGCACATTCGAGAAATCTTTGGCTATGACCGAAAAAAGTAAGACTAAAAGAAGATTTAGATAAATGATACACCTATTTTGAATGACTCATGCTATGGGGGAAAAATAAACATTAATAGTAGAGGCATTGAATACAATTCTTTATTAGGAACCACTGGATGATTGTTTATTCTTTTGGCGCTTAAGATTTAAGAATTAAGTCAGAGTTTTTTGTGAGGTTGCATGCCAAAAAATAACCTTTTTAAACTCTCTTTATAAGATGTATATTTAATGAGAGTGAAGCAGTTTAGTGTTGGAAAACTAGATAGGCTTTGAACTCAGCCATCCACAGAGCTATGTTGAAAGCTGGTCTGATCTGACATCTGCTTTTCGTTGATGCAAAAAGCTTTGCTGCTCAAAAGTGTGGTCGCTGGACAGCGGTCGGTATGCGGCCAACAGCGTTGACATCACCTGACAACACCATTAGAAATGCATGCTCTCAGGCCCCACTTCAGAGCTACCAAATCTAAATCACCTTTATAAGGCTCCCAGGTGATTCATAAGCACATTAAAGTTTGAGAAGCCCTGGTATAGAGAGGAAAGATCAGGGTTTGAATGAAAGTTCTCCCACTTACTAGCTGGATAAACTTGAGTAAATTATTTTTAGAATGTCATCTGGAAGGGGGCACCTGCGTGGCGAAATCTGTTGAGCATCTGACTCTTGGTTTTGGCTAAGGACATGATCCCAGGGTCATGAGATCAAGCCCCGCGTCAAGCTCTGTGCTCAGCCAAGCTCTGTGCTCAGTGTGGAGTCTGAGATGCTCTCTCTGCCCCTCCCTCTGCTCACTCTGTCTCTATCTCTCTCAAATAAATCTTTAGGAAAAAAATGACATCTAGAAGGATTAAATGAGGTAGTATGTGTGTAAAACAGAAGGGACTTATCTCCGTGCCTATCAGTCGACATTTGCCATCTCCTTTAAAGCCACCAATATGAGAAATTAGAAGGCAATCCTAAGAAAAGATGTTTTTTAAAAAAAGATATTTAGTAGTAAAAACTGGAATAAAAATCAGATTTAAATATCTACTATTCGTAAAGTCATTAGCTAGTTAACATGTTCTTGGTCAAGCCATTAATCTGCCTGCTTCAGCCTCTGTTTTTTGGGTTTTTTTCTTAAGATTTTTATTTATTTATTTGACAGCACAAGCAGGGGGAGCGGCAGGCAGAGGGAGAAGCAGGCTCTGCGCTGAGCTGGGAGCCCGATGTGGGGCTGGATCCCAGGACCCTGGGATCATGACCTGAGCCGAAGGCAGGCGCTTAACCGACGGAGCCACCCAGGCGCCCCTTGAGTCTCTGTTCTAAAGTCCTTTCCTTTCTCATGAAGCTCAAATGAGATTAGTATGTACAAAATGATTTTCATATATATTGTACTTTCAGGATTTTAATATAAACTATCCTGTAACTAGAGGCGAAAGAGGTAAACATTGTTGGATTGGTATCTTCATTGACATTAAATTCTGGAATAGTTGCCTTCAGGGGGTAGTAAGGACTCATTTAACTTCTTTATTTCAGAAACTCACCTCTACCCATCCTCTGCCCCGCTCACTCCTTGCGAAGCAAGAAAGTAATTCTAAGTGTGTTTTTGTTATAAAGATACTGATTTTTAAAACAGGAGGATGCAGTTCCTTTAAAAAACTGGGAATTTGAGCTTTTTTAACAACGTTGATTTCCTCTTATCAGATACAAAGATGAAAGCGATTATGCCTTACGTTACATGGAGAGTAGCTGGAAAGAGCAGCAGAAGGAAGAAGCAAAGAGGTAAGCACAAAACTTAACACATTTGTGCAGAAATGTCCTGAACATTCCTTTCTGTTTCCTGCTTCAGTTGCATGCACCATTGGGAGCAGGGGCTTTGGGCCACACAGTTCTGAGTTCCAATCCTGCTTACTTACCATGGGGCTTTAGACAAATTCCTTAGCCTTTCTAAATCTGTCTCCTTGTTTGTAAAATGAGAATTTACTGTTTTTACTTATTAAGGTACTATATTTATATAATATAGATGCACTATATAATAACGTGTACAAGCTGCCTAGTGCAGTGCCTCACCCTCTGGGCGCACAGTAAGTGCTAGAAGCTGCCTCTGACCCCATTGCAATGTGTTCTTGTCTTTTTTTAAAGATTTTTATTTATTTATTCATGAGAGACAGAGAGAGAGAGAGAGGCAGAGGGAGAAGCAGGCTCCCAAGGAGCAGGGAGCCTGATGTGGGACTCGATCCCAGGACCCTGGGATCATGACCCGAGCCGAAGGCAGACGCTTAACCATCTGAGCCACCCAGGCGCCCAACCCTCTTTTTTTTTTCCAAGATTTTATTTACTTATTCATGAGAGAGAGAGAGAGAGAGAGGCAGAGGGAGAAGCAGACTTCCCGCAGAGCGGGGAGCCCGATGCGGGACTCGATCCCAGGACTCCGGGATCATGACCTGAGCCGAAGGCAGACGCTTAACCATCTGAGCCACCCAGGCGCCCAACCCTCTTTTTTTTTTTTTTTTTAAGATTTATTTATTTGAGAGAGAGAGCAAGAGAGAGCAGGAGCAGAGGCAGAGGGGGAAACAGACTCCCCACTGAGCAGGAGCCTGATGCCAGGCTTGATCCCAGAAACCCGGATCATGACCTGAACTGAAGGCAAACGCTTAACCGACTGAGCCACCCAGGCGCCCCTCTTTCCCCATCTTGAATTCCCTTTCTGTTATCAGACACATGTCAGTCTTGCTAACCTATACCCCTACCGGCCTTAGGGACCTGAGGAGGGATGATTCCTGATTCTGTCTGATTCCTGTTTGAATACCTAATAACAAACTAATGATAATTTCTTGGTTTGGGGTAACAAGTGATTACTTTGTTTATAGTGTTAACTTGGTAAAATAATACAATTCAGTCTCGACCCAGAATATTAAATCTTTCTCCCTCTTGCCTTCCCCTCCTGTAACTACATAAAATATCAAAGTGATGGGAAGGGATAAAAATAGAATGGTATTTTATTTATTGAATAAACTTTCTTCTGATTTTTAAAAGCTGTTAGGATAAGCAGTTTGTATTTTACTACTTTACTGGGAACATTAAGGTATTTGGTGTTGAGGTTTTATGTGAGGTCTTTTTTCTACTGTAAGTAGAGTGAGTAGCAGAGGCTCCTAGTAAAAAGTATACCTGCTAGTTCTCAGTGGTAAAGCCTTGAGGCATTTTTAATGCATCAGCACATTCCATATGAGCTCCCAGTTTAAATTTCACTTTTAATTTTTAAAGAGAGTGGTAATTTCATGTATATTGACAAATGCTTTTTTTTTTTTTTTTTTGACAGTTTGAGACTAGGTATGCAGGAGGACTTAGAGGAAATGAGACGTGAAGAAGAAGAAATGAAGCGTCGAAAGGCCAAGAAGCTGAAGAAGCGTTAGCTGCTGCTTTTATTTATTTTTGTGAAATTCTGGAGACACTCTGCTGCAAGGAGGTCCTGCCTTCAGAATGAAGAAGCCCCTTTATGATTTTAGATTTATACTTGGGTACTCAAGGAGAAGGAATGCATACTATCATTTGCAGGCTGTCATTGGAGCATGAAGTATTTTCAGATACTTTCCAGGGTTAAATCTGTAATGCAGATGATAGAATGCCCAGTTGAGTGCTCTTAGGAAGTTAACTGTTCACAGGTGCCAGCCTTGATCCTGATGAGCTATGCACTCTGATGTGGGGCCGCTCACCAGTCAGCCAATCTTACATTGTTCCTTTGCTACTTTGAAAAGGAAAAAAAAAGGATTGCCTCGTGACTTCCTAATTCTGCTGTTGTGTGAGTAGGGCACTGCCCGGCTCCCAATCAAACTTACTTTGTCTTTTAATGAGGAACCTGGCCCTTCCATGAATGTTGCCAGCAATAAAGTGACCTGTCCTAATCTATATGTTTGGATTGAGAACTTGAAAATGTAGAGTAGGCTTTATAATTATCGTATGGATGTCATCTCTGTGACTTTGAAGTAAAAATAGAATAAATTATACTGTATTCTGCATTATTCGTGGATTGGATGCTGAGCATTCTTATTCACTAATTTAGGTGATAAGGCAATTAACAAAAAATTTTTTTCAAGTTAAAATACAAGTTATGCCATTTAGTTTAAAAATACTTGTTTCCAAGTTTTCCTTTCAGATTTCCTGTTATGTTGGCTTTAAAATAGACAAGGTCACTGTGCTGATTGATTTTTATCTAAAAAATTCATTTTTATATTGAAGAAAAATGCTTATTTTATTCAAACATTAGATTTGGTAGAGTAATAGTTTAAAAACTGAGGAAGTGACATGTGAGACTCCCCTCTTCCCTCATTCTAAAAATATTTTGGAAAAAGGTGCCCCTGTACCTCTTGATATTAATGACCGTGTTTTATCTTAAGTTCTTTAGCAATTAATGGCAAAAACCAAAAACTAAATTCATGTGTATCAAGAGCACCACCTTCTCTTTTTGCCCATATTGCACTTTTATTTCAAACTATGCACTGTGAAGAGATTTTTTTCCCAGGTAGAAAAGGATGTTCCCTGTTACTAGTGCTTTACTGGGCTGTGGAACTTTCTTCATTCTCACTTTTTTTCAAGTCGTATTTGTAGACTTGGTATCTCTTAAGCCTCAAATCCAGGCAGTTCCAATCAGGCTGACATAGATTCTGGCTGGAGAGAAGCCAAGTCTAAAGGAAAGTCAGCAATAGAAAATGAGATATGATGATGCTAGAGAACATTTGTCCTTCTTGTTTCTAAATGTGGAGGGTTGGGGGCAGTGGGACATAAGCTTGGAAAACAGTTCCAAACGTTGCTTTCATGTATTCCTTTTTATCCATAAGCTTGCTTTATTCTTCAAGTTTGGTAGTATAGATTACTATTGTTAGCCTCCTTTAATGGGACAACCATGTGACCCAGACCCTTAAGACTCTGACTCATTTTGAATTGAGTTTCAAATTTCAGAAGTGCAAGGATTTAACTTTGAAGCTGAATCCTATGAAAGAGGTCTTCATCACTAGGAATAACACCTTTTCTAATGGTCCACATGGAACTGTTAACACTGGCAGAAAATCCTGTCAACTGCCTCTCACCCATCTCAAATACCTTCAGTGAAATTGGTTTAAGGATAGTGTGATATTCATGTAATGAAACAGGTTTGGAACATTATTTCCTTTGCTGTCACTTTTGTGCCCCCCCCCCAAACGTTTTTTTCTTGGATGTATTTTTTCAATATTCAGACTCTTTGAAAATCTATTACAATCAAGTGCTTATCATAGCCGAAAGATTTCTCGTGGCTTAAAATTTACTAGCACTTTACTCATTGTGCAGTTATTTGTACATAAAGGCACCACTGTGCTAGGTAAAAGTTCCAGAACTTGAAGAGTCAGGTTGTGTCCTTAGGCGTTATCACTTTTGAGTGCATTTCTTCTACAGATGTTATTATTCTTCAGCATCAACATTATAAAAGGGCACTTCTGTAGCTCAATTAAAAAGAAAGTCCTGAGAAAGTCTTTTAAATTAGTCTTGGCCTTGTTTCCAAATCTTGTCTTCCATTTTGTTCTGCAGTTCCTAACCACTCTTACAGAAAGCCCACAAATCTTTGAAGAAACTGGAATAAGCTATTATTTTATTAAGGTTTACAAATTAAGTGCTTGGTTTTTAATGTATCCTCTACCACTTTGGTTTTCAGATTTTATTAATTCAGTATCTGAAGATGTGCCTTTTATTGGGTAATGTTAATTCACGAATGTAGTAATGTTATTTCACGACTGTAATGTTACATGATCATGGGTGTGGCATTCTCTAACAGATGATGTGAAAGGAAAGTAGTTTTCATAAAACTCATATGGCTCTGATTGCACAGTCCCACTTGCTTTTGATATTGTTCTGTCAAAGCAAGGGGCACTTTCTTTTAAGGCTACTTTCAGAACTTGTCTTTGTATTTTCTCTAAACTATAAATGCAGTTGTGTCCATTTGGAGGCCAGGGTACCACATGTCACAGACAGCCTTACATGTGTGCCATGAGAGGGTTCAAAGACTGTTAACAAAAAAGAAAGTCTATGGGAACTCGAAATTTCATTTTTTAAATGTTACCCCAAGATTTTCTCCAAGAAATCACTGTTTTGTATTTTGTAACTTAAAAGCAGCTATTAGTACATTTCTGAGATATAGCAGGAGACCAAAACATGTTTGGAAAGAGAATAAATATATGAAGAGAGACTGGTTGGTTTATTTTCAATGTGCTGAATATATTAGACTACTATTTATTTTGTGAGTGGATGTGATAAAATAAATATTCAGGTGTTTAGTGTATGATTAAGAGTGATATATAGATTTCTTTGGAGTTATTAAATCCATCATGTCTTTTACATAATGGACAAATCAAGTTTTAAAAAAAAACATTTACATAGCTTAGCTTGTTTTCTGGTGCTGTTGACCTGCAAGAGAATCTACTTTTGCATATACAGGTGAAAGTTTTGCAATTTATGTATAAAAGAAATTGTAGGCATTAAAAATATTTTATTGATATTTTCACTGGTTTGCCTTTATTTACCAAAACTCAGATATTCCCTCTTTCATCACCGTGAACATTTTCCCAGCTACAACCTCCAGTAGACTCATCAGACTTGAGATGGGGTTTGCCTCCTTACACACACACACACCTCTGTTCATTCTCCCTGACACATTCATGTCTGCTCAGTCCCCACAACTGACACCTCTCCCCGCCCCCCACCAGTTTAAGAGAGCTGGTCTGCTACCAGACACCCAAGTTAGAATTGTTTGGAGGTATATTCAGGAAACTGGAGGGAAGAAGAACTGGGTATATAGTTCTTCTTGTCAAGAAAATGAGCAGGTTCTGATCCCCTATAATAGAAAGAGCCTGAAATAGTTAACTGAGAAGATGAATCCTTTGGAATATATGAGGCAAATGGGCACAGCCATGCAGCCAGAATGTAGGCACTTAACTGGATGGGATACGTTGGGTCTCAGTCACATAAGAAGTATTATAAGAGATGCTACTATCCTAGAGTCAGGATTACATAGTGTTGCTCATGGATTTTGAGTTCATGTTTCTTTCCATAAAAAATAAGGGCAATCCATTCAGTGCACAGGGCCACTTAAAAATAGTTTAGCAAACATGTACCAAATAGTCATCAACAAAATGTTACCTGCATAACCAAAAGATCTACTTTGGTGGTAAGGATGCCCTTCTGAACAATGGAACTATCAGTTGTCCCCAGGCAGCCACAGAATGGGAAAAGTTCCATACAGTTTGTTTCAAAAGTACTTGCTCTTATTAGGTTCGCCCCCCTCCCCCCCACTCCCCTCTCAGGGTCAGAAAATTCCATACCACCTCTACAGGGCTTATGAGGAATATCCTAAGGCTCAAACACTCAGAATAACTGCATGGGTCTTATACTTAGGTTTCCATCCTTGGTCTCAAACTCAAACTGAATCATATTGAGACTGAGCAGTTGGCTTTTGTTTCTATGCGTGCTGCCCTGTATTAGCAGCAGTCACTGCTAAAAGAATCATCAGCCACCTTCTTGGCTATTCAGGTGAGGGAGGCATTTGAGCCAAGAGACAGCCAAGGTCTTGGATATTCCAGGCTCTTGTTTGGCTCTTTTCCTTGGCACGTAGAAACATGAAAGGAGAAGGTCTGGATCTTAATCTTGACTCTGCAACCCAGAGCTGTGGGGCTGGTAAGATTCCTGAACCTCTCAACTTCATTTTTTTGCCATTTTGTTAAATGAGGCCAGTGGCCAAGCCAGAAGGTTATTATAAGGATTAAAATAATGTATAATTAAGCACCAAATATTAAAATGCAGCCCTTTCCTCACACAGTGTAAGCCTTAGGTTTTTGATAATAGCTGTGAAAAGGCCACAGAGAAGTATCCCCAAAGGATAGGCTTAGAGTTGCTGTAATAGCCTTTTCTGTAACATTTTTTCAATGCTGGACGCGGGAGAAAGCCTATACTTGGGAACTAGCTCTAAGGAACTTTAGAGAATTTCTATCCTTAAGGATACAAAATAGGGGGCAAATTGAATAAGGTATCTTAGTCTTAATGTCAGTCTTAGAGACTGAAATGTAGGGGACCCAATCACATTCATCCACCCCAACTACCTCCCCACCCTTCATCTCCCTGTTTCCAGCTAACAGAATACCAAGTCTTCATCTTAAAAAGTACGGTAACTTTTTACATAAAATGTGACAAAATCATGTGCAATTACTTTATGTGAAACCAACAACAGGAACTGTACAGCTGGTCAGGTGAGCTTCAGAGCTGCATTACTTCACCAGGATCATCTTTGCTTATTTCCACCGGGGTCTGGGGGGGAGAAAAGTATGTCAGGTGGGCCTTACCTAGTGTTTGCTGGGGTGTGGGGATGAGGCAATTGCTCTCCTTGCTGTCCAATTCTGCCTCTTAATGCCTCTGATCCCAGTTGCCAGAGGGGTGTAGCCATGGGGGAGGTGACAAGAGGCCAAAAAAGAACAAATATCCAAGGCCTAACAGGAAGAGAGAAGATCTCTAGCACCAGAACCACTTTATCGACCACCGTTTACTCAAGGAGGGCGAGTTAGGTCTGGGTTGCTGGTGTGAGCTGATTTAAGAAATGGTACTGAAGCCTGAGCCCACAAAATGGCCCCCTGAGCACCAGACAAGGTCACCCATGTCAGACAACTTTGACTCTGGGCCTAAGATATCTATACCTCTACACCTCTAGGTTCTTTGAAACTGAAGAATGTAAGACTAAAGACTCTTAGGAAAATATGTATAAAAGAAAGACATGAAAGACAGAGGGGGGTGCCTGGGTGGCTCAGTTGGGCGCCTGGGTGGCTCAGTTGGTTAAGCGACTGCCTTCGGCTCAGGTCATGATCCTGGAGTCACAGGATCGAGTCCCGCATCAGGCTCCCTGCTCGGCAGGGAGTCTGCTTCTCCCTCTGACCCTCCCCCCTCTCATGTACTCGCTCTCTCTCATTCTCTCTCTCTCAAATAAATAAATAAAATCTTTAAAAAAAAAAAAAAAAGAAAGACAGAGGGAACTCTCAGATAGTGAATGATAATAGAAGTATGTAAGCTACAACCACTTTCTTAATAAAGAAAAGACTATTTGTTTCTAAAGTTACTAGAGTTGGATTTTGATGCTTAGCTCATTGATCTGGGGGAATACATTCCAAAGTAGGAATAGAGAACAAAGTTGAAAGCATACTTACCCCTCCTGGGGGATACTTAAATCCCTTCCACATGGTTCCTGCAATGAGAAGCAACCATAAGATAACAATCATCGTGGGGCTTCTTGCTCAGCTGGTGGTGTGTGCTGGGGAAAATGGGTGGTTCTGAAGGGTGTGGTGTTCTATCTCCTGAGCCCTGGGAACTGGGCTGTCTTCATTCAAGACCAGAGGGTGGATCGCCCAGCATGTCAGCTCCTGGCTGGAGAGCTTTGTGGTCTAGTCTGAACTGCAATGGCTCGCCATGGCCATTTTGGGGGGCAGAGCTCAGACACCAATTGTGACATCAGCTCTTGTGACCTTGGGGGTACCAGTCAGAGTGAGTAGCTATGGGACAGTTGGCCAGGATGCCTGGCCTATTGGGGCCAAAGAACCCTAACAGAAGGGCCCTGTTCAGGGACGCCTGGGTGGCTCAGTCGGTTAAGCGGCTGCCTTCGGCCCAGGTCATGATCCCGGGGTCCTGGGATCGAGTCCCACATCGGGCTCCTTGCTCAGCAGGGAGCCTGCTTCTCCCTCTCTCTCCCTCTGCTTGTGCTCTCTCTGTCAAATAAATAAAATCTTAAAAAAAAAAAAAAGAAGGGCCCTGTTCACTGGTGACCCTATGTGGTTAGGATTTAGCCAGCATCACATCTTTATTAACTCATCACCTATCAAAATATTAACTATTGGTTTTATGCAATCAGATGCAAAAAGCATTGCTATGCAAAAAACGAAACAAAACAAAAAATATCCTGGGTTAATTGGGACGGTTGGCTAGGCATGCTGTGAGCAATTACTTTATATACTATTGCTAGGCTATTTGAAAAAGAAAAATCTTGCATTTTTTGAAACACCACAGTTAAACCCTCATTATGCAGGGTATGCTTCCTCACAACCTCCCTGGAAAGGGAAGAGAAGGAAGATGGGCTGTTATGCTCATTTCACAGTTGGAGAACCTGAGGCGCAGAACAGTTTCAGTGGTTTGGTCAGGATCAGGTGGCTCAGCTAAGCAAGTGCCCAGTGCCTCCATCCACAACCCCACCCCCACAAAGGTCTGAGTTGGGTCAATACTCATACAGACATTCTGAGGCAGGTGGAGAGAAAAAAAAGAACCCTCATGCCTTGTTCTTAGTATCGCTGGGGTTGGGACTTGATGCCCCTGCTGTCCAGAGTAGCTTCCCAGAAAACCTGCTTCTGTAACCGGCTTATTACTAAGACTTTGTTTCTTTAACAGTGGGAACATCTTTGAAAAAACAGGTCTGAATGAAAGGGAGTGGGATGTGAGAACCCCAGGAGATGTTTGCTAAAAGGAGACTGTATTCATGTTTCCTAGAGGCAGGCTGGTCTAGTGGAATGAGTGTAAGAGGCTATTAGGTCCAGAGACCTAGGCTTGCATCCCAGCTTCATAAACGAGTTGGTCTGTATGGCCTTGGGTAAATAGTTGAGGTTGTTGTCACCAGTAAATCTTTGTTGTCCAGTTCATTATTTTGCTTAGTTGTTAAGTAAGCATTTAGTAAATGCTTTGCATCAAATGCTTGACATGAATTCCCAAATGCAATCCTCCCAAGAATAGTAAGATACTGAGCTATCTCCATTGGGCAGATGAAGAAAGTGAAGTTTAGAGAGATTCAACCTTCCCAAGGTCACAGAGTGAGGAGCAAAGTGAGGGCTTGAACTCATTCACGGTAACTCCAGTCTTGGGATCTGCCAAAAGGATGCTGAAAATACTCACCCAACTTCTTATAGTTTGTGAGAAAAGAAGTTAATAGATGGGAATGAAAAGAATACCTAGGAGATGTGCTTAACCAATCTTGGAACCTTGGCCTGCTGGCCAAAGCAGGGCTTGCCGTCTTCTTCCCCCACCGCATACCTCCAACCACTTCCCCTTTGACAGCTGATTGTTTCCCAGGGGGAAATAAACTCTCCACTGAGATTTCAGGGTGTTGCCGCATTCTCTGGAAAGGGAGGAGTTGAGTCCAGCAAACCTGACCACTCACTCAGAGCTGTGGGTCTTCATCCAAAGTCCAGCTCCTCAGTCGCGTCTTGTTCTCCTGAACAGGCCACTTCTCTTTCCACTTCAGAGCTGGAGGCTGAGTCAGAAAGAAATTTAAAGGCAGAAGTGGTTCTCCTTGTTGGCCTAGTAGGTAACAGCCTCTGTATGACTGCAAGGGCTGTTGGGAGGTCCCGCCAATGACCACATTCCCTTTCCCACCAGCGACCACTCATCTACTTGGCCTGAAACCCCCCCTCTCCAGCAGACCCCTTATAAACTCCATAATGCTTTGAGATAAGTGCTGTTATGTAGCCAAGGGGCAGGTGGAACTTAAAGCTATCCCAAGGGGATGAGAAGTAGCCTGGGAAACTAACTTTGTTCCCATTGCATCATGACCTCTAATTAGTGGTGCAACCTCAACTATCCTTCCCCTTTGATGGGAAATCCCAGCTGGGAAGGGGAGCCAGAGCCAGGACTGACTACTACCAGGGACTCACAGGCAGGGTCATTACTTACCATGAACTCCGGAAATGCGCCCATATAACACGCAAGTCCAACAAAAAGCATCCAGCCAAGCACGATCATGACAACAAGTAAAACAATGTCTAAGACACAACTGCACAGTGAAGACTATTCATGGAGATCTTGGCAAAGGAGTGTGCTCATGAAACCCTCAGTTGGTAGAGGTCTTGCATGTCAGTTCCAGTCCTTGGCTCCAAAGGATCCACAACGCCCTAGTGGAGAAGTTGAGAGTCTAGTAGGGCATTGTGACATCATTGGTCACATGGCCCAGACTCACATGTCAGAGAGACTGCCCCCAGACCAGTAGCTGAGCAGCAAACTAAGCTTTTTGTATGCATTCTCTCATAGCAACAATACGAAGTAGGTACTATTATCAAGCCCATTTACTAAGAAGACTGAAGCGTAGAGAGCCTAAGTGACTTACACTAGGTCACAAGGCCGATGCTCCAGATCAGGGCCAGGACTCAGAGCCCAGCTACCCGTTAGGAAGCTGGGCTCCTTAGACTACAGACAGGGATCGGTAAGGGTGTGAATGGAATAAACTGAATTCTAAGGAAATGAGACATCTCTTATTTCTGTTCCTCCAACTCCCTCATCATCTCAAGAGCTCTGTCACCACCATTTTATACCATTCTTCAATATCTTTGGTCAGTAACTCTCTGCTGGTTCTCCTCTCGTGGCCTTCAAGAAGCCACAAGAAGTCCTTTCCTTTCATGACCGGACTGCTTAAACAAGTGGTCCACACTTAAAGCCTTTCTTCCCAATCTCTACCTTTCTTCCATATATCACATTCTGATTTCTGGCCTCCACGCCACTACTTAGATGCTCTCAGATGTTACCAAAGATCTCCTTTTTGTCAAGTCTAATGACCTCATCCTCATCCCTTTGACCTCCCTGTACTGTCACAATGGACCCTTCCCTCCACCAGAATTCTTTCTACAGACACATGTCCCTATGTGTTATTTTGATATCCCCTTTATTTTCATTACTTGTTTTAATGATGAAAATAATAGGTGCTCATGGTAAAACATGAACCCACCTGCACACATATAAGAAAAATTTAACAATCTCCCCTCTTTTTCCCCTCAATTCCCATCCCCATGAGGTACCCAAGCCTGGTATGTACCCTTCTACCAAAGAATCCTCCATGAGCTTGCAAACATCAGTACACATATAGAGGGATATAGAGGGCTTCTTTTCAGTGTTGCTTTATTAATGGTGATCATAGTATCTATGCTACTATGCACCTTGCTTTTCTCCTGTTAACAACAATACATCATGGACATCCTCTTGGGTCAATGGACAAAAAAATCTAAACACATTCCTTTTTTTTTTTAATAATAAGCTTTATTGAGGTATAAATCACATATGATAAAATTCACTCCTTTTTAGTGTGCAGTTGATGAGTTTTGAAAAATGTGTCAATCTCGTAACTACCACCACCATCAAGAGAGAGAAAAATTTCAATCATCTCAAAAAGCTCCCTGTGCCCCTTTGCAATAGGTCTCCTCCCTTGAACTCCCCGCCCCCCTGGAAACCATTTATCTGCTTTTGCATTTTCCAGAACTTCATATAAAGAGAGTTATAGGCTCACTCACTGGCTTCTTTCACTTAACATAATGCTTTTAAGATTCATCCATGTTGTACAGTAGTTTGTCCTGTTTCATTGAATGAACATATGGCCCACTGCGTGGACATTGCAGTTTATCAATTTACCTGTCAAAGAACATTTGGGTTGTTTCCAGTTTGGGTTATTATGAGTTTGGATTATTATAAATCTTTGGGTACAGGGCGCCTGGGTGGCTCAGTCGGTTAAGCGACTGCCTTCGGCTCAGGTCATGATCCTGGAGTCCCGGGATCGAGTCCCGCATTGGGGTCCCTGCTCGGCAGGGAGTCTGCTTCTCCCTCTGACCCTCCTCCCTCTCATGCTCTCTGTCTCTCATTCTCTCTCTCTCAAATAAATAAAATCTTTAAAAAAATAAAAATAAAAATAAATCTTTGGGTACAGTTTTTTGTGTGAACGTAAGTTTTAGTTTCTCTAGGGTAAATCCCAGCAGGGGTATTTGAATCATGTGCCTGTTAAAAAAACCCTTATCACTAGTTCTCAGCAATTTTACTTTGCTTTGCCTGTGTAATTTTCTGCATGTTTCTTCTATTTGGAGTTCAATGAGCTTCTTGGAACTGTGGGTTTATGGTTTTCATCAAATTGGGAAAATATCTGCCTAATATTTCTTCAAGTATTTTTTTCTGCCTCCCTGTCCCTCTCTATGACCTCCATTACATGCGAGACCAGTAACCAGTGTGAACATGTCCCACAGCTTGCTGTGGCCCTGTTCATTTTTGAGTCTTTGTCTCTCTCTGTGTTTCATTTTGGATAGTTTCCATTGCTTTCTTTTTCAAGTTCACTCATCTTTCCCCTATAGTGTCTAATCTTCTGTGAATCCCATACAGTGAATTTTTCATTTGACATTGTATTTTTTCATCTCTTCAAGTTCAATTTGTCTTTTAAAAAATTCATTTTTTTCCACATCATGTTCATGTTTCCCTTTGCATCTTTGAGCATTTTTATAAGATTGATAATAAACATTTTAAGGACTCCATCCACATTATCTACCATCTCTGTCATTTCTGGAGTTGTTTTGATGGTTGATTTTTCTTTTTGTTATGGGTGATATTTTCTTACTTCTTTGAATGCCTGGTAACTTTTGGTTGGATGTCAACACGGTGAATTTTACAAGGCTGTCTGCTGGACTTGGCTATATTCCGTAGTGTGGGGTTTTTTCCAGGATGTTTGGTATCAGTTTGATTCTTCAGAAGCTTGTTTTAAGATTTGTAATGGTAGGCAAAGAGCAGCTTTTACTCTGAGGATAATTATCCCCATCACTGAGCTATGACCATTCTGATGCCCACTGGGCACTCTCTCTGATGCCTATTGTGTTCAGTCTTTCAAATCTGTGGAATTTTTCACAACTCCTAGCCCTTTTGAGAGCTCCAAGAAGTGTTTGGCCTGCTGTTTCTGGGTGGTTCCTGTCCTGGCCTCATGGAGTTTTCGTATGCACAGACAAACTCAGCCAAAGACTTACAAGGACCCCTACCCCTACGGAGATCTCCAGAGTTCTCTCTCTGTGGAACCCCTTTTTCTCCAGGACCCCATCCTGCAAATTCCTGGTACTCTGGCCTCCTTTGTATTCTGCTATCTTTCTTTACAACTCAGCAAGACTAATCTTGGTTTGGGTAGCCCCATTGTGCTGCAGTCTGAAAACCACTTCCGGACAGTAGGCTGGGGCAATTGTAAGGCTCATCTCCTTTATTTCCTGTCTCTCAAAGTTCATAGGCTTGTGCTGCTGCTTGTGCAAGATCTGAAAACAATCATTTCATATATTTTGCGCAGTTTTCTACTTGTTTGTGGAGAGAAGGCGACTCCTGTAGCAGTTGATCCTTCCTAGGCAGAATGCAAAGGAATCCAACTTATCCTTTTTTAATTTCTGCATAACAGTCCACATTTATTTCCTCTTTCTCCTAACGATGACTATATCAGTCAAGAGATGGAAACCGCACAGTAATTTCAACAGATAAAGTTTAATAAAGAGAATTATTAACTAGGAACAAGACATTAACTAAGGAAAAGGCAGAAAGCTCTACCTACACAGAAACAGCACATACAGGGAGCAGTTACCACCTCGAAGGCTGAGGCAAAGCACCCAAGGGAGAAACAAACTTGTAAGAGTCCCTCCCCTCCGGAGCTGAGATCCAAAACTGGTTGAAGAAGTGGTGGCCATCACCGACTGGATGGTAGAGAAATCCAATCAGCTGCAGGCCAGACCTGACAATTAGAGAATCACTAGATGCTGGTGAAATTTGCCAGGAAGTCTCCAGAGGGGCTTCTGGGAGGCTCACTGATCACTGCTGAGAATCTGCCAGCAGAATATACCAGGAAGCTACCGCGTGAGGTGCTGGTGGTAGAACTCAAGGCAAACTGTTCAGTGGCAGGGACGCCATTGAAACTCAATGGAAAACAGTCCATAGAGAGGCCACTGAAAGTCAACAGGGGTGAGCACCACTGGATAGCCCCCACGTGCCGCTGGCAGCCGCAGAGCAGAATCAGGAGAAACAAAGGCACACTGGAACCAGGAAGAGAAGTTTCTTCCTCCTACAGTAGCTCCCCAAGGCCCTCTATTGCTAAAACTTAACATCATGCCCACTAGCAAGGAAAAAAGGTTTACAAGGTCCATTACAGCAGAGCAAGCAGTGAATGGTGGATTCAGAGCTGAAGGACAATGAGTTCATAAACGGCACAATGTGCATTTAGGTTTTCTCCCATTTTTTATCACCATAAACAATGCTGTGATTGTTAAACAAAATTTCTTAGAAAATTTCTTCTGAGGATTGCCAGGTTTTTACTTGTTAACCAGGAAAGCCGCAAGATGACAAAAAGAGGATGCCAGTTCAGATAGAGCATGAAAATGGAGAGGCTAGATCAAATCCTTCCAAAAAAAGAACTAGTGTAAGAAAAGAAAGCTTATAATTTCATTTCATAAGGACAAAGGATGTCTTTCAAAAGACAAAGGATGTCTGTGGCAGGATCGCCTGAGATGCAGCATATGCTGTCAGTCAATGAACAACAACATAAGCTCCATACATCTAAGTGAAGGATACTGGTTTTTGATGCACATATTTTTTAAATTTTCATGAGGACTAATTTACTTATTTTTTTTCTTTTGTTGCCTATGCCTTGGTGTCATATCCAAGAAATCACTGCCAAGTCCGATGTCATGAAGTTTTTTCCTATGTTTCCTTCTAAAAGTTGCATTGTTTCAGGTCTTACATTGAGGTCTATGATCCATTTTGAGTTAATTTTTGTATATGGTGTTAGAGAAGAGTCCAATTCATTCTTGCATATGGATATCCAGTTTTCCCAGTACCATTTGTTGAAAAGACTGGCCTTTCCCCCATTGAATGGTCTTGGCACTCTTGTCAAAAATCATATGACCATGAATGCAAGGATTTATTTCTGGGATATCTATTCTATTCCATTGGTGAGGTACTTAGAGATGTCAAAATCATAGAGACAGAAAATAGAGTGGTGAGTCGCCAGGGGCTGGGAAGAGGAAAGAGTAGGAAGGTATTATTTCATAGATATAGAGTTTTAGTTTTAGAAGATGAAAAGCACTATGGAGATGGGTGGTAGAGATGGCGGGGCAACATTATGAATGTATTTAATGCCAGTGAACTGTACATTCAAAAATGGTTACGATGGTAAATTGTACGTTATGTGTGTTTTACCACAATAAAGAAATGGGGGAAAAGAGAAGTAAATGATAAGGACACATGTGTCTGATATTTGGAATACCAGGGGTTTCATCCCTGAACAGTATGTCTGACAGGACCAATAACTATGAAAGCAAAGAGTGTAAACAGAGTCAGAAGCAGAGCCCCAAGAAAAAAATTCCTATTTTAAACAAGCCATTCTTGTGACTTTTCTCAAGCTGCAAACAAAGATGCAGAATATACACTTTTCCCATTTCTTAGTTTGGGGATCCTTTTTTTTTTAATTAACATCTTTGTACCTGTGTCTTGGGTACTTTTATTTCGGTAAGACAAATTTCCAAAAGTAGGGTTATAGAGTCAAAGGTATGTCAGATTACTTCGCCCAAAAGTTGTAGCAAATTGTGCTCCCACGGACTACATTTGAGTTTCTTAAACCAGGGTGCAAGGATGGGCTTCAGTGGATCCCTGAACACTCCTGAAATTGGACACAAAATGGACTGCATATGTTGGCATGTACATTTTTCTAGAACAGGTCTGTATCTTCCAACAGATTTTTTTTTTAAAGTCTGCAACTCTAATAAGGCTGAGAACTAGTACACTATACCATCTTCTCCCTATGGCTTTGGTCACCTTACACCATTCATTCAGCAAACTTACCAAATATCAGAAGAATGAAGACATGCATAAATTCAAGCATGCTAGGCACTGGGAATACAGATATAAATGAGATTTGACAGCTATCTGTCAGGACCTTACAGTCTTTGGGGAGAGAAAGAGGGGAAGAGATGGAAGTAGTCCGGTACAATAAAATATCCCAGGCAGGGCATTAAGGCATGAAGCACAGAAGACATGACATGCTTGGGGAAAAGTGAATATTTTAGCCTGGTTAGATTACAGGATGAAATAGTGCCAAATTCTGGATGTGGATGCTAATCACAACTTCACACACAGGGAAGCAGCAAAATGCACAGAGAAGGAACATGGTCTCTGACACCACCTTCTGCAACAATTTAACCTTTCTGAGTCTTGGTTTCCCTATCTGTAAAATGGAGCCAATTATACCATATATCCTCTATTTTAAGGTGCATACTTTTTCACATTTCAGCTCTTTTCAAATAGATGTAAGTATTAAAATTGGTATTTATATTTAATTTTGTAACCTTTTCTCTCCCAAAACTTTGTCAATAATATATCTCTTACTCAACAGGATCTCAGAAACAAGGAAATAGGTAATACAACCCCAAACCTCAGTTTCCTCGCCAGTAGAATGATCTATCTAGGTCATAGGGTTCTGAGAAGATTAACTGTGATAAAGCACATAAAACTCTAAGCAACGTACCTTCCACACAGGAAATGATGGCTACAAACACACACACACACACACACAGGCATAAAGTGTTCATAGGGCCTATAAGTCATTCGTAGTGACTAAACCAGAAGAGAATGAGCTGTTTGGATGGAAGACATCTTCCATAAATGGTTCTTCCATCAAATATTGAAGAACCTTGCTCAGGCATCACTTCTAACGTGGTGTCTTTTCCTTGATTACTGGATTTCTGACAGGGTCTGTTAGATCTTAGAGGCCCTGGAAGTCCCATCATTTCCTAGGTTTGTTTATCCGCCTGAGGTGCTCTCGGAGGCCTCTTAGCTTTCAATCTTCTCCCCTCCTACCTTCTCTCCTGGCTCCCTCTCTCGCCCCACATCCAGTCTCTACAAGGCAGCAGTCAGACCTATTCTTTTAAGACTCAGTCACATTACTTCTCTGTTCAAAACCTTCCAGTGGCTTCCTCTTTCTCTCACAGTAAAAGCCTGAGAAAGAAAAAAGCAGCCCCCAAAATCTGGGAACTGGTCTGACCCAGCCAGGAAGGTCTCCATGTTGTTAGAAGTTGACCCGGCACTCATGGCTAGGCTATGTTATTCTCCTGCTGGATAAAACAACCTCACAGAACACAAACACCAGACAGGGTCACTCAGACCATGATAAAATGAGACCAAATAAGGCCAATTCATAATTTTGTCTAAGCAGAGACAAACCAAAGGTCCCTGTGCAGCCCATGAAATACCGAACATCCTCTTCTCTCTGCTAATATGAGTGACTGCTTCTTCTTTACCAATTACTGCTTTATCCTTGCTCTAGTTTGCCCATTGTATAGATATTTATTGAGCTATCCAATCACAGAACTGTCTCTGCTTTCTGACAGCACCCAATCCAACGTGAAGTTTCACTTCATTAAATCCTCCCCCAAGTCACCCAAAGCCCCAATCCTATAAGAGATCTTTCTCATACTCCTGGACTGAGCAGTCCCAGTGGTTCTCCACAGCATCTGCTCCCTCACTGCAAAGAGTAATCAACCCAACTTATTTAAGGGTGAGTGTTCCTGATGCTCTTCTGGCTGGACAGCATTGACAAGCCAGAGTCCCAAATGTCTACAAAGGCCCCACAGTGATTCTCAGACTTCACCTTGCATTAGAATCACCAGGTTTGTCAAAAATGATCACTTGAACCACCCCTCCCCCAGAGTTTCTGACTCTGTAAGTCTGGGGATTGGGTCTTAGAATCTGTACTTCTCCCAAGTTCCAGGTGATGCTGAGGCTGTGAGTCTGGGGGCCACACTGCAAGAATCACTGCCCTAACCCATCTGTTTCTCCCTTATTTCTCTGACTTAGCCTACTTCTGTTTCCTCACCTCTTACTTCATTCTACTCCAGCCACAGTTGGCCGTTTTGAGCTCACACCTGTCTTAGGACTTTGCTTTGAATGCCCTCTAATATAGAACACTTAATCTCTCACCTCTCAAGGAGACCTACCCTGATCTCCTTATCCTGCCTTTTAAAAATTTATTCCCCACAACACTTAATTACCTTCCAGCATATGATCTAATTTATTTATTTACTATACGTATTGTTTTGCTCTCCTCCTAAGAAAAGAATGACAGCCTTAGGACAACCAATATTTTTGTCTATTTTGTTCACTGTTGTATCCTCAGACCTAGAAAAAGATCTAGCAAATAGTCAATGCTCAACAAAAGTTTGTTGAATGAATAAATACCCTTTCCAGCCTCTATTTTCTTCTAATTGAGTCACAGCATTCCTGCCTCTGGCTCTCCCTGTAAATACAATCATCGTCTTGCTTACCCATCCTCCTGACAGTTACAATATCCATCTTCTGCGACTTTTTAAGCCCAGTGGCCCAAATCAGGGATAAAGCAAGTAAGTAAATCACAAGTCAAGGAGACCAGACAAAGCCAGCAAATTTCATTTCTTCGTCTTCTCTATGTGGATGATCTTATCCACCAATCTACCTCTTCTCTTGTTCTCAAACTCTTTTTCTGCCCTAGCTTTTCCCTCTCTGTGCCACCAACAGTTACGGCGCCCCTCCTTTAAAAAAAAAAAAAAAAAAAAAAGGCAACTCCTCCCGGCATGCTGCACCAACCCTCACAATCTCCCAGTTTTTCGACAATGCTCCTTCTGACTCCATTTTCCCTTTCTAGCTCCCTGAAAATTTGCTTTTGAAGTCCCGTTACCTCTTCCTTCCTAAATCTAACGATAATTTTTGGTCTTGATCTTTCTCGATACTCTGCTGAATTTAACACACCCTTCTAGAAACTCTCTTCCAAAACAGCGCGAGTTGCTTCTACCTCCTTTACTGCTTCTCCTCGGGTCCTTCCTATTCCTCTCCTTACAGATGTCCCCAAGTTTCCTTCCAGCAAGCCGGGTCGTGGCCCCGGGGCGCTAACGCTTTTCCGACCGCGCCCAGGGTCCACTCTGGGGCGCTGGTCCGACTCCCGGGCGGAGCTGCCGCTGAGCCTGGGCGTTGGACGCGGGCGGACTTTCGAGCCTGGGAAGGGGCGTGGCCTTGGACCGCTCGGGAGGCTTGGACCTCGGCGGCCTCCGTCCAGGGGTGGGCCCGGAGGGAGGTCCACGGGCTGGAGTCGCAGAACCTGGCTGCGGGACGTGGATGGAGATGGAGTTCGACTGCGAGGGTCTCAGACGGCTACTGGGCAAGGTACGAGCAGCCCGCCGGGCCGGGTCTGGGGCGCCGGGGTGTCGGGGCCGGGCTGCCTCGTCAAGGCGTTTCCCCGGCTCGTCCCGGGGTTTGGAGCGGAGGCGGGCTGGCCTGAAGCCGGCTGCGGGGAGTGGCCCCCGGGAGGCTGCGGGTCTCTCCCTCCCGAGTCCTCAGTCCCAGGGCGGGGCCTGTGGCTCCGCCCACGACTCCGAGGCCCGCGGCCTCCACCGGGAGGGAGACTTTCTCACGCCACCAGCGTCTCTGGTTCTCAAACAGCTCCCAGCACTCGCCTGTGCCTTTAACCACGCCTTTCTCTCTGCTGCTACGGCCTGCCCCTTTTTTCTTGACTTGCAATCTCTTTTTTCTGAGACTCAACTCAGATGTCACTCCCTGCAGGATGGAATCACGCCCCTCGCTCTGCTTGCTTTCAGAAGTCTGGATTATCACGTTGTGGAGTAATTATTTTATTTACAATGATTTATTTACTCATGCGGTGTACTCACCGCAGAGACGGTGCTGTTGTGTTCCCTTCCCTAGCACTGTGCCTCACCACAGCGGAGGGGCTAAATCAGTGTGCAGTGAATTAGTGACTTGAGTAGGTATAGGAATGAAAACGGGGCTTGCAGGCCCAGAAGAGATCCTCTTAATGTTTGAAAGGTTGAGCGGGAGGCCTGACCCAGAAGTCTAACCTACATTTCTGGGGCATGACTAGCACCAGTTTCCAGGTTAGTCCGGGCTCTTGGTCCAGGCTCTGATTTCCCACCAGTGTACATTCTGAGGCAACCCCTCTTTCGCTGGCTTTCTAATTAAGTCATTCTTAATGCTTCCTTAAGACTTCTCCATGCAGAAACCATACATGCATGCCATTTTTTTGGATTTGTCTTAGTTGGGGCAATTTGCACATCTGTGCGAGGTTATGAAGCCTCATGACTGAACGTGTTTATTTAATTGATCTGAATGATTTTATCTATTGTGACAGGTATAAATTTTGTAGGAAGAGAAGTATCATGCTTACGACTACACCCTTTGTGTCTCCTCTTCACAGAACCTCTCTATCAAGTTTTTTAATGAGGGGAGCATGATCTGTTGTTCGGTGGGAAGAAGTGTTAAAGTTGAGAGTAGAAAAAGAACTTTATAATTTTTCCCTCATTAGATTAGCATGAATTAAGATAATTTGAAGTGATGTGGAGGATGTGGATGAATGGGACTTTTAAACACTGCTGGTGGTTAAATGGTTATTCAACCATTTTGGAGAACAATTTGGCCTTGTTAATTTGATTATGTGTGATTTATATCCCTTCTACATCTAGGCAGATACCATAGAGAATTCATAGTATATGAAGCAACAGACATTTGCAGAATTATCTATAACTAAAAATTAGAAACAACTCAATGTGCATTAACAGAAAGAAGGATAATTTGTTGTATATTCACACAATGGAAAACATTACTGTGTGGCAGTGAAAATGAGCTGCAACATGCCACAATACAAATGAATCTTAGAAACATTATATTGAGTGAAAAAAATTGGAAGTTAAATGCAAAATTATAATTTTATAAAGCCAACAAAATTAAAATTAAACAACAACTAAACAAGCAATAGTGTGTTGTTTAGGGATACACACGCATGTGTGATAAAACCAGAAGATGAAAGCAGAGGAATGTAAATACATTTTAAAGGGAGGCAGTTGAGTGGGTGAGAGGGGCATTCAGACAGATGTAATGGTATTGGAGGGGTCTGTGCTGTCTAATAGAGTATCCAGTAGCGATAAGTGGCTATTTGTCAGAATTAGATAAAATTAAAAATTGAGTTTCTCAGTCACACCAGCCACATTTTAATTGTCAGTAGGCACATGTGGCTTGTGGCTACTATATTAGATCCCTCACATATAGATCTTTTCCATCATGGCAGAAAGTTTTTTGGACATTACTATTCTGGATCATGTGTGAGCAGGTTGATGCATGGGTGTTTATTCTTCAGAATTAGTGTATATTTGTGTGTGTGTGTGTGTGTATACACATATGTATATATTCTTTAGTTTGTTTTAAATATTAAGTTTAGGGGTGCCTGGGTGGCTCAGTTAAGCGTCTGACTCTTGATTTCAGCTCAGGTCATGATCTCAGGGTTGTGGGATTGAGACCCGTATCAGGCTCCACACTCAGCCTTCATACTCAATGGGGACATCTGCTTGGGATTCTCTCTCTCTCCCTCTCCCCCTGCCCCTA